CCCCAAAACCCCAAAACCCCAAAACCCCTAGCGACTGTATTTGCATGCCATTTTTTATTTATGAAATAAAGAATTTAAATTCATCTTTTTATAATTTAATCATTTTAGCATCGTTGTGAATTTAGCATTATTGATCTTTTTCTCTTTTATCTCTTTGATCTTCATACCTCTTTGAATGATGTTTGAGATTATGCATTCCTTTCCATACCTGTGCCTTCTATCAAATGAATCATTCAAGATGCTAATCTTTTTAACCCAATCACCAACTTTATTCTTATGAATTATTGCATAATCACAACTAAATCCATTATAAAATTTCTTTTCCTTGTTTAAATCAGTGCTTTGCTGGGTGGTGTTACTTGAATATTGATGAATTAGCTTTGGCTACTCCCTTGGAGTATCTCTAGCATCTTCTAAGTCAGCAATGAACATTTCAGATTTAAATTTTCCAAGTCTTGGTTCTTGCTGGTATGACTGAGAATTGCTAATACTTATAGATTAATTACTATTTGTAACCCCTGCATTTCCTCCAGTTGAGGGTTTTTATTTTTAATGTCCTGGCTTGCTCATTCTTAAATCGCCAAATTATTTGGCTCTACCTCTTGTCTATATGAAATTAATATAACAGGTATATTACGTGCTAAATTTTTAGCATGTACTGATTCTAATTAAGTTTGGAGAAAACCAAATAAATTTTTTGAGGGTCAAGATAAGTAAAGTTGTCAATGTTACTTTCATTGAAAATGATAGATACTCTGCTTGAGAAGTACTCCATTTAATTTTGATTGAAATTTTTATCTACTAGTACATTCGAAAAGTATACAATCTATAGTAAATTTAAAGATGAGCCAATTTATCTTACAAAGTTTAAATTATCCTCATTTACAATTATATCAATGTCTTCTTTACAATCAATAATTGCATTTAGATATAAGTGATTATTTTTTGTTTTTTCTTTTGCATTTCCAATCTATCCGAGCATGCTTAGGAAGTGCATATGACTCTTTGATACTTTTGAAGGGTTTATCTAAATTTATGAGAGATTGGTGAAGGATTCTTGCTTGGTATTCTTTGGGATATAATAAACACCTATTGCATAGAAATCTTTTGGTTGAATTTAGTCAAGAATTTAGAGATAATTTCTCAACATCTAATCATCCTCACATTACATAAGTTCCTTTTGCTTTTTAGAATCCTAAAATATTAAAAATGTTAATTTTTACCAGTATTGCATTAGGATCAAGCAGTGCCATTATTGAATTATCATTCTGCATTATTAATTAAAGCAAATTTGATCCATTCGAGACTCCATTACTTTTGAGAACATCTTTTTCTCCTTTAATCAGTTACTTCAACTTATTTATTTAAGTAAAGTCACCGTTTGATATTTGCTGTCTATTGTTACTAACATTTATTTAGGCTCTGTAGTTATAAACGGGATTTCTAATATATATGTCGTAGTTATTGTCATTTTAAATCATTGATATAATATTTCTGTTCCATATAAAATGGTGGATGCTCTCTGGTCTCTCTTAATTGTCAATTTAGAATTAAATATCGCAGTTACGATCGTAAACACTATGACTTTGCCATAAAATAAGTGTAGTCAAGCAATCAATCATGCATTGATTGATTTTTTCAATCTTTCTAAGTTCTTTATTTTTTTCCTTTCCAAACTTCTCTCTATCTGGAATTATAGTTTTCTAGCCAACTAAAGTAATAATTGCATTCAAACTGTCCTCATTTTTACAAAAAGATGTTAGATTTGCTATGTTAGAGACCATCAATGAAATCTTAACAAAGTTATTGTCTTGATTATTCAAAATGTAATAAAGATACAAAAGCTCATCAAATAAAAACTATTCCTTGAAAATAATTTTCAGATTCTTATTCATTCTATGAATATTATTCTTGATTCTATAAATAGGATCAGCCATTTCACATTTACTAAGCATATATGGAAACATTATTCTTATATTAAGAAACAGTAGATAGTCAGTTATCAAAGTGTTTCTCAATAATGAGTCCTAGTTATCCTTTATTGAATCAATAATATTTTATAGACAAACCAGTAAACTTTAACTTAGCTTTGGAAGTGTAAGGTCGTTCATAACTACTATTGAAAGTTGATCAATTAAATACTCAATTAATCTATGATCTTTTTAATCCGATCCTGCCAGCTTTATTTGTAAATTTTAATTGATTATTTACATCCAAATCGATTAGTCAACTTAACTCTCGTTGATAAAGCAAAAACCAATCAAAGATATCACTTTTTTCATGAATTTGACCATGATTTTTGTGCTAATTTAACTTTCGACCTATTAAAAACCAAGGGAATCAAATTATGTCTATGATCTTGAGGCTTTCACGTGACTACTCTTTTACATCTATTTTTATGCAATCATTCCTCCAGTCTATTGAAATTTATTCAATAGCTATTAATAGAGTGTTTTTGAGAGATGCTAGAAATTTCCATTGTAAGGGTCTTTATAAAATTCCTACTCTTACCATCTTGCTAGATAATTTTAGATATAGCTGAGAGTTCTTATTAAATTCTCAAGAATTAGCTGATGAAGTTCTTTTGAAAGTATTGGATATGAAGATTCATAATTTTGTAAACCTAATAACGAGTAAAATATCTCAAGAATGATAAAAGAAAATTCTGGTTCTTCAATTGGATCAAAATGCTTGAGAAGGATTTAGACTATTCTGATCCATTCTGATTTTCCATCTAGTAGTGCTTGTTTATTTTATTACTAATCGTGCTCCAACAATTCAAGATTTAAGAAGTCATCTTCTTAAATGTAAATGACAAATTTATTAAAGAGCTTGAGGCATGAAAGTTTAATATCACTTGACGTAGTATCATCTTCAAGACATGATATGATTGCTTTCAATGTGTTTTAAATTATGTATTTTTCTTCTAGAAGTTTATTTAATGATGATCTTCCTATTTAAGTTTGACTTGCCTCTCTTGAGGCTCTTAATAAAATAGTCAATCTATCTTCACTATAATTGCTTCCTCCACTGCTATTACCTTAACTATCACTCTAAGATCTAAAATCATTACCCTCAAATGTATCCATATTTAGTTTTTTAATGTCAACAAATATTGGATTATCAGTAGTCATCCAGCACAATTCTTTATATGTATTTACTTTAAGATTGGCTAATAAATCAATGCAGATGACATTTCTTCTATCATTAGATTGAAGTTTTAAAGTTGTAAGAAGAATGTTATAAACATAAATAGCTTTTTCATACTCAACTGACGAAGACTTTAATATAAATATCTAAATAAGTCTTGTTAGAGCATGTTGTTAGAAACTTTTCATTTTTATTTGCTCACTGTTTAGATAATTTACTGTGCCCTTGTTTAAAAAGTTCTGCTTAATTTATTATATATTTGAATGGCCTGCAATACTAATGTCATTTTACATATTGGACTTGTCAAATTCAAAGCAATTAATGCACTCGGATAATATTTGCATTAGATGTCTAAAGTTAGTTGATTTTTAAGTTTTACATCCCATTATTATCAAAATGTCTATTATCTGTATAATTTATGCAGTCGTGTAGGATCCATCTTTCCTAGTTAAATAAAAATACTCGATGTTATTAGCAAAAACTGCTTCGAGTAAAGTATAAATGCTAGGATCTTCACAATCCTCATAAAAGCTTGAAACCATATCTAAGAACAAAGATCTAATCTCAGCACTTTTTTCATTAGTCAGACATGATTCTATAATAAACTAAAAGGAAACCATGAAATCAAAATTTAGGATATAATTTATCGAAAGCTATGTCAATGTTTTATCTAATATTGCTCTCTAATTTTTGTACTTCAAGTATATATTGATAACATAACCTTCTAGAAAATCTGGGAATTTTTCTATCAACATTAAGTTTCTAATAATTTTAAACATATCGAATATAGAATCCATCCTTTTCTTGTTATTTAGGTCCTCAATATATCTGGTAAGAGAGTCTAGTATATTAAGAATACCTTGCCATTCATAATACAAAGACTAATATTTGAGACCAACAAGTTGCTTGGTTGCTCCTAAAATCTCATTAATGACGTTGAATTTTGATTTTTCATTTATCAAATCATTGAATACAGTCAAAATTTACGAAAGAGGATAGTTTAATTCCTCAATTTTTTCCTGACTCCATAAAATTCTCCCAACAAAATATATTGCCCCCTTTTGGACTCTATCAATATTTTTTTCAAATGTACTAATCCATAAAGTTCTATCATTCAGTAGAATACCCATCAATTCTTTAAGCTTATTTTTATCAATAGCAAAAGCTTTCTACGACAATTTTTCAAGTCTGATAATATCCTCTTATAAGTCATAATCATAAAATTTCAAGTCACATTTATTTTTGCAAATAAGCTCGTGGATCGTCATTCTTGGATTTTATTTTGGATCAGTTAAATCATTAGAATCTCTTACTGTAGTAGTTGTAGTATTTAAATTCTGCTGGAGATCATCCAATTCAATTACCATGCTGTTCATTAACTCCTTGAAACATTATAATTAAATTTCTTTCCTAATAGCTAACTAATAGGTAATCTAATCTTTCTTCTCAAAATATTAACATTTCAAAGTAATTTGTAAAATTTCAAGCAACTCTTAGAAGATAAATTTCTTGTCTTAAATAATTATATGCTTGAGAATATTCCAAACAGGATAAGTAAATGGGTCTCTATTAGAAAGCACACACATTGTCATTAACGATGCGTTCAACAGTTTAGGAGAAAAGTCATTGTACTTAAGAAGATATTATAGAATTTATATCACTTCTAGGGCATTTTCTGTTTAGTTTAAATTCACACTAGTAATGCCGACTAATGAAATCCTAAGTAATAGAGACAGAGTTTAGGGTTCAGTAAATGCCTTAGGGTTATAATCTAGCATAATATGGTTAAGAGAGGAGAATAGATTTACCTAGAATATTCTTAATGAAGCATAAAATTTCATTTAGAGGAGTTTTTACGTTGGAATCCACCAGTTTTAGCAAAATTATGAACAGTTGTGTGTTAAACGATGGATCCACTTCAAGCCCATCATTTGTCAGAAATTAAAGATACTAGTAGAATTAGTGAAAGATTTATTACCTTTAACTTGGCTTATGTATCTTAAAACTGTTCCATGAAATTGAGGAAAAATTGAGGAAATTTATAGACCAAACATCTCTACTACATAAAGCATCTGATAACCAACTACAATAAAAGTTAAATAAGAATGAAACTCCTTACATTTTCCACGTCAATTTTCTGATCCTTCTTAAGGCCATTTGCGTTGAGAACGAGATCTTAGACCTTGACTATTATTATACTGAGATCAAATGGGAATTCAAATTAAGCTGATTATACAAAATCTTGTGATAGCTACTGATTTCCTCCACTTCCTGGTGTATTTAGAAAATGCTGCTATTACTGATTATATTGCTTTTGCTGTTTTTGGTTCTTTTTTTAAATCAACTGATCAACATCTCTAATGACTTAAATTCGTGTTTTAATCGAATTCGTTTGGTCTAGCTTTTTAATAAAGCCAATGAACTTAGTCTTAAGCTTCTCATCTTATAAAGGTTCCTGTCCTCCCATTGTAGTATAAGGATTAGATTGTCTATAAGACGTCTGATTTGATTGCATTGTTTATCCACTAGGAAATCTGTAATTAGGATTCGATGCTTGCTAATTACTCATTTATTATTAATATATAATATCTTTTATCCTATTAAAAATTATTACATGGGGTTTTGGGGTTTTGGGGTTTTGGGG